AGACAGAGAGAGAGAGAGAGAGAGAGAGAGAGAGAGAGAGAGAGAGAGAGAGAGAGAGAGAGAGATACAGATGCGCGGAGAGAGGCGAAGAGGAACCAGTGCAGCTGCAGGCAGTATTTTCTCTCATTCCAGCAACAGGTCCACTCCTTCACGACGCTCCAGCACATGTATTACACTGTCACGATCATCACATGCATTCCACTAGGATTGCACTTCAAGGCAGAAGGGGCTTTTTCAGTAATGTAATGAGAGCTGACCATGAAAATGCATTTCGCGAGGGAGTGTTCACTTCGAGGAATCGTGAACAAACTTTTCGGTTTTACGCTGCATTACGGTGGTATCATAAGAAAAGGTACCAAGTATAGATCGCGTAAGGTAAAACAAAATGCTATAATTTTGTTATTTTTTAAATCCCTTACATGGTATAACACTGATACATATGCGAGTGCATACCTCGCGACAGTGTAAATGTTTGGACTTCCAATAAAGGTGCTCGCAGGGACGAGGGTATCTCCACAGGACACAGGTCCTCACCCGCCGATCCCAGAAATTTCATTAGGAACGTCCCAATTGTGTCTAGAGAGTAGGACAGGTAAGAGAGAGAGAGAGACGAAGAACTGCGGTCGCCACTCTGACCTGCTCGAGAAAGACCAGCACTGGTATTTCTAATGTGATAAGTTTCATACAATTTGCTGCGATAAAAAGGCTAGTGTGATTCCCTCAAATTATCGCATCTGTGGCAGCCATAAAAAATTATCGCACTAAAATTGCAATAAAGTCCCTTAGGTTTTGGCCGGTCTAGGCCCAGATTATCACAGTTTTGGTGTGATAAAATGATAGCTACACAAATAATGCGATAAATGCGCTAATGCAATACAATAATTATTGCACTTTAAATGCAATAACTTTTTCATGGCGCTACTAATGCAATAAAAATGTTATTGCTTTTTAAATAAGTTCATTATTACATTCGGAAAATCAGTGAGGGGGTGGATTTTCATGAAGCAGCTTGCAAATATTACATGGCCAGGGCGGCGTGCACGATGACCCTCGACCCTCATGGATCTTTACTGCCACACTATAAGGTAAAAATTAACTTCAAGAGTCGACATTGTTTACTAGTTTTGGCTACACGCTCAAAGTAACCATCACTCGACAGTGTTTAGTAAACGTTATGGAACTGCCATGATGCTTACCATCAACTGATGGTTACTTTAAGCCATTATTAGTATTTTGAGCATACGTAAGCCTCAAAGAAAATAGTTTGTAACTTAAACACTTTTCCTCCGTATTCCAAACTAAGTAGTTTGTAGGGTTTTGGGCGTGAATGACAATTCCGCCTCGATTGCATGACACACTGCTCGTACGTTCCTCGTCTGTGCTGAACATATACGCTCACCCCTATGTTAGTGTTAAGAATGACGCTTCGCTGTGACTGAATGAATCCGAAGCCAGGACAGCGCCGTCAACTCCGTGTGCGCCACGTTCCATTTAAAACTTCCTTTACGACACCGTAAAGAAAAACCAACCTGTACAATGTAGCGGCACAAGCGGCATGCAGTTGCCCTTCACTGAATGAAGCATGAGGCCCGGGTCGACCTCCATGCCGCCATGGCGCGCCAGGCCCGTGGATCTGTCCCCCCGCCAGATTCCCTAAGATTGTCCCTTTATCCCCAACCGTCGGGAATCGAATGAAATCCCTTCTCTGGGGGCCTTGACATGCAAGCGGGTTCACCTGCCGCGCCAGCCTTCTTGGGGGGAATGATCCGGCCGGACCGACGCGTCCTTTCAACCAACTCACGGTAAACCACCAGTAAGTAAATTTGTCTACTCGAGGAAAACACGTGATTGTTTCCTCGAGGGCCTAATTTGCCTACTAGAAATTGGTTATTTGAGTAGGCATTTCCAAACTGTTTACTCGATTCGCGGGCGCTGGTGGTGGGGGGCCGGCGAGAAGACAGTTTTGGTTACTGGAGTGGCTGATTCGGTCGGTGGTGGGGGCAGAATCATCCCCTCCAGGAGACTAATGTGTCTACTCCAGTAAACACCATTGACTTCACAGAGAAAACAATTACTAGGGAGCTGGTACCGACATTTGGGCCTAAAACACTTAGTGGATAACTCAGTTACTCCTCCCTCTCCCTGATAGAGCTCAGGTTTTTCCCGGACGACAGGTAGCGAACCTGCACTCTGCAGCTTCGGAGCGCGCGTGCGTACCCCGAGACTACGATACTTTTTGGGAGGAAGAAGCTGCGCGCACCGCACATGACCCGAGTCACCCGAATCCGAACCGCCGCCCCGCAGTAACCACTAGGTGGGGGGGGCAGCCGATGGGAAAAGCCGAGCGGGAGCCGAAGTGCACCCGAACGGCGGCGACGGTGCGCGGGGAAGAGGGGGGGGCGCGGTTCGGGCGCTGTCCGCCAGGTGGCTCCAGCAGCGCTCGCCCAACTGTCTCCTCAGCAAACAAAATAGTCTACTCAGTAGACAAATTAGAAGATACGATCTTTTACGCGACTTACGGTCTTTGTCCAAAAAGGTTTACTGCGACTTCCCCGAGGATACAATGACATTAACTCAGGCTTACAAATTGGTTTCTCGAGGAGCTTGTCTCACAGATAAACTACTGGTGGTTTACAGTGCTCCACGGCGGATCCAGCGACGGGTTCAAGGGAGCGGTGTCTCAACTCAAAAGTTGCCTTGTCTACAGGGGCGAAGTGCGATTTGATGCCTACCTTTCAGGCGTCTCCGTTCGGAAGGGGGAGGCCTTCCCCTTAAGGTCATATGGAAGATAGGTCTGCGCAACCGAGATGCATGCTGGGAGACCGGGCAGCTAATCCCTCCCGAATCCGTCGCCGGCCGCAGCGGAGGACCGCCTACCTGCCTGCCTGCCGGCTTGCCCGGTCTCCCAGCATGCATCTCGGTTGCGCAGACCTATCTTCCATATGACCTTACTTCCCCTCCCCCTAGACATCCCCCCCCCCAAAAAAAAAACTTCTGGGATCAAGGAAAAAAAAACTTTCAAAAATTTCCTAGATCCAAAATTGTTATTCTTGGATGAGATAAATTTTCCTGTCTCGAGATTCTTTTTCGGTTGCAAAACCGAACTTTTTCATTTAAATAAATCAAGAAACCATTTTTCTGGGCGTAGATCCACGCCTGTTTCTGTTTAAACAAACGGATTGACCACGAAAAACGAACAGTATGTGGTACAAGGCCTGTAAATAGACAAAAGGCATGACCTAACATCCTATTAGACTCACTGCACTTATACTTAGTTGTACAATAATTCAGTCGAGGTAGACTACTCGCAGATGTGTCATCAATCCTTGCCAGTAACTAATAACTATTACTTCCTATTCCTCTCTCTCTCTCTCTCTCTCTCTCTCACACAAACACACATACATACATAAAAAGTTAAGCTCAGCAATAGTCGACTACTTTAATGGGTCCCTGCAAAGGAACTGTTCGAGAACGGACCAGTTTCACGATCATCACAACAATCTTCAATGCGCTGAGATTCCCCTAGAGCATGCTCGCTCCACTCTCTCTCTCCACTGATGCGATGGAAACGCCGACGGGAAAAATGCACTTGCTTTTCAGGGTTTGTGGAGGTGGGCGAGGCGCCTATGCACCACTGCAAAACCAACAACAACAACAGCAAAAGAAGGCGGGAAAATTCCAGTAGCGGCGGAGCAAATTGGGTTGTGCTTCCTGTTTCCCTTTTGTTGCCTCACCTCTCCGCGCGGCCCGCCTTTGTCTCGGCGATGCAGCCTGCCAGGCCTGCCAGGCCTGCGCGCACCGCGGAAAGAGAGGGAAGAATGCGAGGCCTAATGAAGATGGCCTAATTAGCGGATGGCCGCACCCGCAACTCCCGAGCCGAACGGCCGATGCGCGCACAGGGCATCGGCGTCTCGCACACCCAATGTTGCGCACCGTGTTTACGGGACATCACAGTTTTTTTTTTCGGTACAGATGACCTTTTATTCGTACAAATTTCGTGCGAAAAGCTCATCAGCACTATGATCTGTAATGTCTTGTACAAAAACATCTAGGGTGACACCAGGACGAGGAGTCTCAATCACTCAGCTCAGAAGTAAACACAGAATTACTGATTACCAGTGATTACCTACAAAAATACTAAAATAACCTTTATAATTTTGGCCAGCTAAGAGCATTTTTTGCCTACTTTCATAAGGAAAACCCCAAAATCCAATAAGAACAGCGAGCATAGCCTGTTTTGGAGTGTGGTAACCAATGATTACTGCACTGCAAAGCCGGTATACTTATAAGTTTGCTTGCCACAAACTTGGCAAGCCGTTTTGAATGCCAAAAATTGGCAAGCTTGGTCCGGAAATATCCCCCAGCTTGCCAAAATTTGGAAACATATTAAAGATTTCCAAAAAAAGCTTGCCAAATTTTGGCATTTAAAACGGCTTGCCAGTTTAGTGGCAAGCAAACTTACCACCGGCTTTGCAGTGTGGACGAAGTGTACACACGATTACGGGAGTGGTTGACCCCTCGCACCAGGAACCGTTTTCACCGCGAGAACTTTGTTGACATTTGTATCCAGGCAGACAGTGCAACCGATGCAACTCATCACCAGTTAAATGCGTATTACGCAATTAAATTCCTCTGCACTGTGATTCAGTTGCGACGTGAGGTACTGAAAACTTGCCTCGTATGATGCCAGCACGGCATTTCTCGGCAGGAAATCGGGAGTGCAGCGACGCGTCGTCGTTGCCTCAGAAGATTCCCCGCTCTGTTATGACGACTTTTTCCTCCGTCGTCGTAGGCGGGGTGGTGAATTTCTGTTTACCGTCCACACAGTGCGGGGCAGGGGCATGAAGCAGAGTGTGTGTGTGGGGGGGGGGCGTCGGCAGAGCGCTCACATCACAGGCGGAGGCCTGCAGCGGCCGGACGGGGGCGGGGATTCGCTGGCGGCTAGACACTAAATAAAACATGAGGTCGTTCGGGACCCCTTCCCCTTCTCCCCTCCCCCCCCCCTCTCCTCCCCTCTCCTCAAGCTCCTGCCGTCACCTCTGTCTTCGGCAGCGCTCGTTGGCCTGTCGTTGGCCTGCAGAATCTCACGCGCGCGGCATGCACTCAAGTCGCTGCTGTATTCGCATCTCTTTCGGAGTGAGCGTTAAGGACATGCACTATGCAGAATGACTGAATCTGATGTATCAGGTGTTACGTTACGCAAAGACAAAGCAACTGAGACAGCCTCTAAGGGGCTCCAATGAATCTTGAAACGGGAGAAGAATAAAAATAAGCCCCAATGACAGCGTATGCGCAGAAGCTGTTTCTAGGGCTTACTTTTATTCTTCTTCTTCCGTTCCAAGATTCAATGGAGGACCCTATTTGTTACCGAATGCAGACCAACACTGTGAATGTGGAACTGTTGCCAGTAACAGAGGCGTTTCATTGACATAGGTATACGGTTCCGATCCGAGTGCCCGGGACTGACACCCGCTTGAGCGAAGCGGCCTCATTCGTCGCTACCTGCAACGTTGGAGTCCCGAAGTCGCTACCTCTTCTTCACCCACCACTCTGGAAACGTGCTGTTGCCTGCTGCCCTGCGGTGCACTGATTTCAACGCCTTGCATCTAGCTGCGCGAGTCCGGCACCTCTAGAAGCGGGGGAAAGAAGAACAGTGAGTATGGTGCACGAATGTGGTCGTTGCTTCACTCATTTTTTAAAGGAGAACCTATATTTGCAGTCAGGGATGGGTACCTATGTAGATAGAGTTCAAAACACCGAAAGTTTTAGAAACGGCACTTGGTTTCCGGTTGCCCCAACAGTGTTGATCACATAACATTCACACTGTAATTTCGGCCGGACCCCGTTGTTCCTGACTCCAAATGTCGTGTTTACTTCCGGTTCAAGCTATCATTGAGTCTATCCGCCCGCTACTTTGGAAACGTGTTGTCGTATCCGGTTTGTTACCAGGAAGAATTAATTGCTGAATAGAGGTGCAAACTTGTGACTTCCGGTACTGTCCCGCTAAATTTCTGGTACGCGGCTGTACCCATCTCCATTTCAACACAAGCATCGGAGCAACACGGTACGTCAAAGGAGCTGTGGTCTGGAGGAACAAAACCGGAAGTAAGAAATGGCAGTTTTAATGAAAAACATACGCGGCGGATGATGCTTAAGACTTCATCCGCAGTGTACACTTCTCCTAGAAACTGCAATTTCTTACTTCCGTTTTGTTGTTGTTGTTCTTCTTCTTCCCGACCAGAGCTCTTCGGTGTATCCGTTTTCAGACTGCACATCCAACGCACCCATGACTAGTTCATGCATGGAGTAGTGCTCATCTAGTGCGTAGCAGAAGTCTTGCGTAACACTCAGTATCGCTCGAACTAATACCGTTGCACATGCCTTGTGCACCGTGTTAGCGTAGCCAATGTGAAGGAAGTCCATGGGCAGTTAACGCGTAGGGTCAGATAACGACACCCCATTTTCTACGTAATCTGAGTTGCACGTTCAGACCTTTCACGTTACTCCACTTGCGCTCAAGGTGAACTGTGAAAATCTCTCGGGTGCATGGATGAGCGTTCGCACTACCCGCAGCGCTTCCTTTTACTTGAGTAGGGTTCAATTTGAAGAAAATGATCGGGAACATAGAACCGGAAAAGTATAAGGAATTTAGATTTTGCCGGTTAAGACAGCTGTCATCAATTTGTCATGAAGAGAGAACTTTCCTTTGCAATAAAATAGCTACATTATTCCTGTTTCCTGTTAACATCTTCCGGAATCTGCTGGTAGTTTCCCTTATTCAACTTTAACGTTTGTTATTTTTTTGCTCAGGTGACGTTGCTAGATTTGGTCATCAGCGACGCAATGGGCCTCGAATCAGAACCGCAAGCCTTGATCCAGAGATCGGTATGTTAGGGACCTTGTCCCGCCCTTGGGTCCTGGGTCTCGATTGCATACCCTATTCAAGAAGTATGTATTTTCTAACTGGCCTGAACATTATTGGTGCATTGAGTATATGTACAATTTCAAGAAACATTGGTAACTAAACCTAAAGTAACAAATTGGAACTCGAATGTACTTCGGTAGTAAACGAACGAATTCAAATAATGTCGGAGGTCCAAGCCGGCTGGAATTCGATTTGGCAGAGCCACATACGCATAGCACAGGCCTCTCCTTCTAAAAAATTTCCCCTCCCCTTTCTTCATGATTTCCACCCCGTTTAATATTTGACGCTCGCTTAGTTTTAGGCCGGAGGGTTAGACGTCTAATATGCAGGTAAAAACGGAACCTTTGAGCAGGTAGGAATGCATTAGTGGGGTTCCTTATTCTAACTTTCACGTTTCTGCCTTTTCTCGCTCAGGTCGACGTTGCTAGGATTTCGGCGTGCGATCAGCTACTTGTCAAGGAGCCTCGAAGGTACGAGAACCGTCACAGCCCGATCCAGGAAGGATCGGTACTGCGTGTGAGGGACCTTCGTCACCGCGCGCCCGCTGGGATCCTGCAGGCTCGATTCTTCATACGCCTAATATCAAGCAAGGTAGGTGATGATTTTCTAACTTGGACCTGCGTAACATTGCATTGGTCGACGGTTCGTAGTATATGTACAATCTTGCATGAGAACAGTTGGTAACTAAGACCTAAAGTAACAAATTGTGGACTCGAAATAGGCTACTTCGGAGTAGAACCGGAACGGAAGTTCAGAATAGATGTCGGAGGTCCAATGCCGGACTGGCATTGCGATTGTGGCAGAGCCACATACGCAACAAGGCCTCGGCTCATTCTAAGGAATTTCCCCTCCCCTTTTCTTCATGAGTCCTTCCCGACTCCCGTTTAATATTTGTACAGCTCGGCTATAGTTTTAGGTCCGAAGAGAGGTTAGGCTCCGTCTAATATGCACGGTAAAAACGGAACCTGGTTTTCCCAGGAAGCCAATGGTGAAGGTATAGTCGAATTCCAGGGAGTTCCTGGGAAAACCAGGAACCGTTTTTACCGTGTGGCGTCTGCTGCTTCCGGTTCAGGATATCCGAAAGAACCCTATTGTGGTACCTTACCAAAGCGGGGCGCCATTTTAGCACTGAGAACACTCGGCTCAGTATAGAGGTTCTTAATTCTATTTCCGCCTCGCCTGACTTCCGGTCCTGGGCAGGTGTAGTGGATTCTCGATTCTCTGGGAAGTGTTTATAGGTGGTGCTAGCTAAAACTTCGTCATTCCTTGAGAATTCCCTATCCTTAAGATGTTATTGACCAAATTTTGTCCGGAGTCCATTTGATGAACTCTCGTTTCACATAGAGGTACTTTCGTGATCCTGCACCGTAAGAACATTACCGTTGGGCAGTGAGGGGCTTGCTCGATTCTCGGCGTGTGTTTGTACTAGGTGGTGCTTACCCCTAGCAGAAGGAAGCTCTCATCCTGTGCGGGGTCTAAGTCTTGCCCTCTCTCTTCAAATGTTATTGTCCAAATTTTGTCCGAGAAGTCTCAGTTTATTGTGTTGATGAACTTTACGTTTCAATTTGTGCGTGATTTTGTTGTAAAATGGGGAAATATGTGCAGTTTCTCGTACGTAAATTGTACAAAAAGTTCATCTGCTCTCAAAGAGCGAAAGTGGGAAGCGAAACACTCGTAGCTCTCGCGGTTCTGCCGTCAGAACGGCCGGTCACGGCAGGGATGACCCACATGCACCATGCCACCCTTCACCTCCCCCCCGCCGCCACGACCACCGCCCCGCGCGGGCGGCACAGACTATGGTCCATTTCGTCGACATACCGACCCACCCGTCCACGGGCCAATCCCGACGGGACATTAACGCGTGCCTGTGACAGTGTTCGTGGGAGGGGCTCGGAAAATCTCAGTGGTCACGAGTTAGTGCCAACGTTCATGAAATCATCCCAAGTGTTTTTGTACTATTTTGTACGTGGTTTCACAGAACTAAAAACACGTGCGCTTTTGTGCTCAAATTCGAGCCAATCTGTATCAAAATTTGGAATGTGAGTACGGATGGATGCACGAAATTTGTGCGGGACCACGTGTAAAATTTGTTCTTAGGATGAGTGTGCACCTGAGGTTCTTCGAGCAAATGAACAGTGACGGGTTCTTTAAAATGATGACGTTGTGGCAGTTAAATGCAAATAACTATCTTCTACACTGAAAATCTGCCGGCGTGACTTCGTGCCGCTGCAGGGGCGTGAATTAAGTGTCGCGCCATTGAACGGCATGACAGAAAAGTCACGCCACAAATCGGCGACTCAAAAATTCACGCCAATTTTTGGCGTGAATTTTTTGTCATGCCGCTTTTTGGCGTGACTTGTCTCCTAAAACGCGTTGACACTCACGCCAAATGAGGGCGCGACTCACATGTCACGCCGTTTATCGGCGTGAATTTCGTGTCACGTCAATTTTTGGCGTGACTTTTTGTCACGCCATAATTTGGCCATGTGTCCGACCATCACGTTTTCAGTGTACTCTTTCTTGAGAGAAACGCTCCTGGGAGTTCAGTGCCAAAAATGTACCGCAGTCAATGCGCTTTAAGTCTTGCCGAGGTGCGGTTCTGCATCGTCCCGAAGAGGCAGCCGCACGGAGGGAAGGGGGCCATTTGCCAGGCACCTGCGGGGGGCGCTGGCAACTTAGTCGCCCCCCAGCGCCGCTTGCGTTTTTAATGCGCGCTGACTCGGCCGCAGCATCTTAAGATTTTTCCGCAGCGCGTCGCTGGTGAAGGTTTAACCTAACCGTCCCGTAGGGATTTTTTTTGGGAGGGGAGGGGGGGAAATGGACAGAATAAAATCCGAGATTGAACCTGGGATACCGAGCCCGTTCGTGATCCATGAAGCCACACTGTGCGAAAAAACCACAGTGAATCCCGTTAATTTTTTTGCCGGGATTTGCCGTAGTTCAGAAAACAGGATTTACCGTGCCTGGCTGCAGTATCTACTGTACCTGGTACAGGATATTCCGTACTCCACTCCTGTGGTACAGTAAATCCCGTACAAAGTACAGTAGATCCTGTTAAAAAGGTGCAGTAAATCCTGTACTCTGAACTACAGTGAAAGCTGTACTAATCACTACAGGATTTACTGTGATTTTTTCCCACAGTGCAGACACATGGAAGTGTCCCTCCCTGTCCGTCCGTTCAACCGTCTCCCTAGTGCCCGGTCCGGCCGTCCGCCCGCTCCCCGACCCAGACACCAGCAATAAGCCCATGTCGCCGTGATTAAGTGACCCCTTATCACATCAGCCGTATCAGTTTGGCCAACCGCAGCCCTCATAATTTGCACGAGCGGCGAAGGCCACTGCTTCGCGCCGAGGCCGGCCGGCGCACAGTGGGCCAGAAGGCCGGTGGAGGCGGTCTAAATCCCAGCCGCGTTAGCTCTGGTGTCTCTAAACAAGACTCGAACCGAACGTGCGACCCCACCAACGTGTTCCTCGTTCGAAGAGCAATCCCTTGGTGGGATCACACTTTCGGTTCGAGTCCTAGCGACTCTGGAGATCAAAATGCGTCCAGAGTTTTGGTCACCTCTACCGGTCTTCTGTGCGCCGGCGTGCTTAAACGTTCCCGAAGGGGGTGTTCTGCACTCTAAATGTTGTACAGTAAAGATTCTCCATATTATGGTGAAAATGTTCCATATTATGGTGGTGCAGCTGACTTCGTAACATACCATTGAGAATTCACTATACCTTATAGATATTTTGACGAATTTTGTTGGTATTATGGAGAAAATCTCCACCATAATATGTTGGTGCAGCCGTTCACCGTAAGACATTTACTGTGTGTCGCACCTCTAGCCTGTGCTCGCTGTCTGAAAGGACTGTACACAGTTTATCTTTAAAACTTACGAAAGGACTTCTGGCAAAAATGTTGCTGAAGAGTCTTGGCACTTTTACGGAGGCTTCACAAAAGCTCGTGCTAAGTCCACGTAGGTGCATTTCGTGTTCACGAAGATGCTAAGCAAATCCACGAAGAAGTCTCGTAATTTACGAATGATCTTAATTAATTTACAAAAGAATTAGCCTTTGGCAATTTTTTTTGCCTGATGTGCCTTTTTTTGATTCCTAAGTCGTTTTCTACTGTGCCAAAAAGCCCCTCCCCTATCAGGCGCATTCTTTCGTGCTGATTTTTACGGACCGCAGTAAAATGCTGCAAAGTACCCGTCAGGTGCTTCTTTTTGAGGCTCAGATAGCCTTCCCCATCTCCCTATTTCCCTCCCACATCACCCTCCTTCGCTACGCCACTGGGACCGACGGACGGCGCTAGAGTTGCCGCTTTCAGCAGACAGAGGAGGCGTGAAGCGCACTCTATTACGGGCCGGCCGCTCTGTATAGTGGTGCCAACCGCGCGGCAAGAAAATTCCGGCGCGAATTGCGCAGTCTCTCGAGAGCACCAAACATACATGTGTATATTTAACGCCCCTCCGGCCCCCCCTCTCCCCGCCGGCGGGTTGGCACTGCGGGCTGCGGCGTGAAATATGGCGCGCATGTTTACAAATCTCTTTGCTTATTTATACGCCGCGGGCCGCCATAACGGTTCAAGGGACGCGCGTTAAGGAGGCTGTCGAGGCGGCGGTCTGCGGCGCGGACGCTCAGTGGACCAGAAGACCGGTGGAGGCGGTCGAAAATCCCGGACGCGTTTTGAGCTCCAGAGTCGCTAAATGGGACTCGAACCGAACGTGTGACCCCACCAATGGATTGCTCTCCGAACGAGTAATCCATTGGTGGGGTCACACGTTTGATTCGAGACCTGTTTAGCAACTCTACAGCTCAAAACGCGTGTAGAGTTTCGGCCGCCACCGCCGGTCTTCTAGCCTACACTGGCGATCCAAGGGACGCGCGTCAAGGAGGTGGCAGAGGCGGCCGCAGCGGTCTCGGTGGTGGTCTGCGGCGCGGACGCTTGTGGCGGCGGCGAGTGAAGTTGGGTCAATGTTTCGCCGCGCGCTCCTCGACAAACTAGGCGAGCCCGTTCCCTGCCGGCGCAGCAGTGTACTTGCTTCCACTTTGGCTCCGATGATGCTGTAGCGCGGGATCCACTCTGGTGTAATAACTGTTTTGGCTGCCCTTGGACGAAAAGAGGAGTTACGATAAACGCGATTAAAAAGAGGTTACTTTCACGGATGGATTCAGTGGATGCCTATCTCTTGACCCTTAGAATTAAGTTCCATTGCATGGTAAACTTTTTGCATCAAAAATCATTTATTAGTGGGCGATTTTAATTGAAAATTTCTTTTTTATTGCATGTGGTCTTTCGTTTTGCACTGTAAAAAATTCCGTACTTTTGTACGGAAATGGTACAGAAAAATATAGTACGGAGGTACGGAGAAAAGTACGGAACGTTCCGTACTTGCTCCATATGAACCCATGTAAATGGGTACGGGAAAAAGGTACGGAACGTTCCGTAGTTGGCAAGTATGGACGGTCCAGGCAAATTATTGACCAGACATGTTCCGTACTTTTTTCTCACAGTGTGTTTAGGGAGATTACTGAAACCGTCTATGTTACTGCGTTTACAATTCATGGAGCTATGAGGATGAGTCCAAGTGGTGGTGTGGCGG